ATAAACCTCTGTCTTAGCAAAGAGAGTGCTACAGGTCTCTCAGGAGCAGGGAAGAAACACCACACAGATCTATGCCGTGTTTTAAGCACCGAGAAGATCGGCCCCTCCCTGCAGAAAGGAGAATGCCTGCGAGCACAAAAGTTTTGTGGGGAATGACCTGTTCCAAAAAACCATCTCGGATCTGCAATAACGTAGTCAGGCCTGTGTAAGAACATAACTTTTTCTTACCCTTTTTTTGTGGCTGCTGCTTCTTACTGAATTCCTGCTTCACCTTTAGAAATTAGCTGTTTTTTACAGAGGCATTTCACTGTACCTGAGAGCTCTCTGCCCAGTAATTAGTTGTTTATTCAGAGACACACAGGCTGGCCAGACCTTAGGAAGTCACCCGATTTATCTCTGTGCCTGATGGCAGGCTTTGATTAGGACTGTCATTCCTGGCTGATGTTTGTCTCTAGATGCCCAGTGTCAGAGTTTCTTTCAGTCCTCGGGCGCCTGGTCCACTGCCTCCCATCCCCAGCGCTGAAAGCTTTCCCTGATATCTAAGCTGAATTTTGCTTGTCATTATCTTCTAGTCCCGGCCCAATGGATTTGGAGAGCGTGTGAAAGCCTTAATGTGTGACATTTCTGTACAAGCCTTAACTTGTTTGTTCACAGGTACTTTTCTGGTAGTATCCTTTGCTGTGTACTGGCTTCTCTTTGTCTGCTCCGTGGCTTTCTTAAGCGCAGTAGCTGAGCGAGACACAGCCCATGTGAGCAGAGGCTTTATCAGCGCTGTGCAGAGCGGAAGGATTGCTTCATGGGTCTTGCAGAGAACGCTCGCTTTTAGCTGACCTGGGGTGCCTTTTTCACAAGTGCATCACCTTGTTTATTCCTCTTCAGCCCCCTCTTCTATCTTCTTCTGTCCTCCAAAACCCCAGATCCTTTTCTGTGGAACAGATACCTAATCCATTGATAACTGATTATTTGTAGCTAGCCATTTCCAGTTGATAATGCCTAAATACAGTTGAGAGCTTGTCCGTGTTGAACACCACCCAGTTTCCACCAATTTGTCAAGAACGTTCTTAATTCTAGTCTTAGCCTCCAAAGCGCTCACCTCTCCCAGCTTGTGTCACCTGCACTTTTAATAGAGTTCCCTGTACTTGCAATCCAGGTTGTTTGTGAGTCATTAGCCTTCTTCTCATCCTTCCTATAAATCCATTACATATAGCCCCACTTTCTGCAGGGTCTCCTCCACACCCTTGGCTTGGTTTCTGCTGCTTGTCCTGCTTGGTAGCCCGTGTTACCCAACCCCGTGGATCGCAATTCAAAGCTCGCAGCATGAAGTTTAGAAGCTGGTCTTGCTCTGGTGCTGGTCACTTCTCACAATACCACTGATATCCACGTGGCTGTACGGCAGGAGCATTGGACAAGATGGTATAAAACCACTGGACAAAACCTGCATGGTTTTCCAGCAACTTTTGGATTTTATTTTCTAGGGGAAGAACAACCTGGGATATCAGCAGTGGTCAGTAGGTAGCTGGCTGTATGTTATTTCTTTGCAGTCGGTCATTAAACGTTCCTGTTCTTGCAAAGTTATTAGAGAATGATCAGACTATGGCAAATAATTAACCCTCAATAAATGAAGTAAAACCCTCTGTGGGCTAAACTGTGTGTTTGTATGGAGCTTTCCATCCTGTGGTTAAATCTGTAGTTCCCTTTTTCAATGCATGCTTGTCTAACTTATCGGCTGCCATCATTTCTGAAGTACCTATCACATTTGCACTTGAAAGACAGCAGTTATAAAAGAAACCCACAGGGAGATGACCCGGAGGACATTAGAACAAACGGAGCAGACTCTTCACAGAACCTCTGAGACACCGCAGGTAACTTCCTGGGATATATGTTGCGGTTTGGTTTTGTCCTGTTGTGCTTTGTTTGATAGGTCCTGGTTTTCCAAGTCAGCTTTGCATTACGCTGAGAAATGCGTCTGGAATCTGCTTCTGACCACTTGCCTGTGAGACAGTGGGACACGTCAGCTCTAAATAAGAAAGTCAGTAAGGCTGTTTGCTATGGTTTGATTTCTGCTGTCCTTTGAGAAGGAGCATACCCTTTAGAAAGGGAATAATAAATCCTTTACCTTTTGCTCATTAGTTTTTACCACACATAACAAAAACATAATATAATCAAGGCTTTTATTCATCCCAAGAACTTAGTATACTCATTTTTGTGAGGAGTGTAATCCTCTTCTAGATTACTAGTTAACATCTGTATTTCAATACATTTACTTTTGATTCTCTTTTCAGTAATGTGTTACATGAAACACACAGGGTATCGTAGACTGCAAGGTGTTTGTATAGGTTGTGGTCTCACACAGCTGTGGAAAAATCTCTTCCAAGAAAACTGTCCTTTCAATCTTAGTGTGATAACAAGAAAAAGAAAAATAGCATTTTTGAAAACAGGCAGGAAGAGATAAGCTGAAGAAAAACAAGGAGAATAATTGAAAAGTAATCTGCACTGCAGTAACATTTTATATCCGGTTACAAATCAGTAAATTGCTGCTCCAAAAATGTTAAATCTGTCTAACGCTTGCATGCTTTTAGACATCAAAAGTACCTTTGAAAAGTTGATCTTTAGGATCTTTTGAAAAGTATAGGAAAAAGAGTGTGCCCAGGAAGAATATGAATCCTTATTTTCTGAGGACAAAGTAAAAAAATGTGTAGGTAGCCAAACCCACTTTAAGTAAACCCAAAAAGAGACCCAGCTGACTCAAGTGCCAGAGCAGTCCTGAAACCAGCTTATTGACCTTACTCAGGTTAGTAGGTGTGAATCCTAAGCAGCTGTAAAACACGAGGCTCTTCAAAGATTTTTTTTTTTAATAATGTACTAAAGTGATTGCCTTTTTTTTTTTTAAAAAAAAAAAAAAAAGTGAGTTCTTTTAGCAGTGGACCTGATGAAGCTTCGTTCCCAAAGTCTTGTAGTTTTACCTGGTGTCTGATTAAGGCTGCAGCCGGGGAAGCACAACCGGCCCCTCTGTCCCTCTCCTGTGCGGGTGGAATGCCCTTTGGTGGGTTCTCTTGTTTCTCTCGCTGAGCTACCTGGGTCACATTACAAGAGCTTAACCTGCTGGAAACTGCTTTGTGGCTGCTGGGTATGGGTGTAGGTGGTCGGTGGGAGAGTTGCAGTGAGCATGGTGGGCAATATTAATAGGCAGGTCGGAATTCAGATGTGCACACACGCATAAAAGCACATGCACACACATCTGTGCAGGTCAGGATTCCTTTCTTGCCAGGGTTGTACTGGGGTTATTGCTAGCATGAAAATGAGAAGCTGAGTTTTATTGTCAGGGGCTTGAAGTTGATAAATTTTTACTTTAAAATGGAGAAAAAAGTTGTCAGCGTATTTAATAGTCTCATCAGGTAAAAGAGCTATACGATGTTGTCTGAAGCAGGAAAGAAAGCCTGCTGCCGCTAATTTGTACAAAAGCATATTGGAAACGGATGTCATGTTCTAGCAGTTCTTTTAATTAGTTTTTATCCGATGAAGCAGTATAGGTGTGGCAGAGGTGGTCAGAGATCAGGTGCCATTGTAAACTTGTCTGCAGTCCACATAATGCCCTCCAGAATAACATAATCTTGTGAGGCAGAGGTCTGTATGGTGTTCGAGTGAGAAAATCCAGAAGAACAGACTTTTCATGAATGGTAACGCAATAGGGAATAGTCTTGGAGGCATATGGTGTAGGCATAAAGGTATGGTGTGAATAATAATTACCTGATAGTTTGTGAGTCACACACACTTTGGAAGAACCAAAATGTCTTTCAATAACCAGACGTATGTAAAAGCAAACCCTGACTCCCCAGGAATAATCCCTTAGCAAACACAGGGGTTCAGTTAGCCTCGTGCACATGTTGGCTAGCAGACCAGAAGATGCATACAAAATATGAGTATAGGTAGTGAGTGGACCTGGTCATTAAGGAACACACAGCATTGTAGATTATGTGTTGCTTTAATGAACTCGGCACTCATACACCATTTTGAAAAACAGTTACTGGGTAGCAGAAGTACTCCAACTGTGATCAATTGGAGTGCTTCCAGTCCCTGGGTTATTTATTGGAGGTTCAGGGAGAACTGATGGGTTAAAGATGCTTTCTGTGCTCATTACCATCTGAAAATATTATATTTTCCATACAAGCAATCGCTGTAGTGCCTCAGGGAAGTTGTGTGATTAGGCTGGGAGGGCGTATTTCTCTTCGGTAAGAACATTTTGGAAAGCTGCTGTTCTGTATTTCCAAGTTGTTTATATTAGGTTATACATGAATGATTACCCAGAGATTTTTTTTCTCCCGGTACTTCATGAAACAATCTGTAGGAAGCGTACGAACATGCTGGTTTTAAGCATTAAAAATAGTCATTCATTTAAATTAGAAACAAACAAAATAGTTTCTCTTACACCAAAAAATTAACATTGGAGAATTAGCCTTGAGGTGAGCGCTGAAGCTGTTTCTTTAGCGAGCTTTATTTAAATAGAAACTGGAAACGAAATTCCAGTAAGTAGCCATTTTATATATAGCGCCAGCTAAAAATATGGTAATTTCTGTTCTTGGAGCAAATGGGACTTTACTGAAAGGCGGTGTACCTGAGCTCGACTCACTCCTCTCCGTGGAGAGATGCTCTAAGTCCCTGACTGCTGCTCTGAACATCCACACACGACAGTGTTTCAAACCAGCAGCTTTTTCAGAGGGCCGGCAAAAGCAAAGGGAGCAAAATGAAGTGCAGTTGGTGGTACTTACATTAAATTTAGCCACGACAAGCTGCATTTTCCTGCAAGGAAAGGAGAAGAGTCTGTCCCCTGCAAGGTGGCAGTTTCATTCCTTTGATCGTGTGGATATGCCGTGCTCCATGGTTTGTGTGCGTAACGCTCGGGATTGTGTTCATTTTCAGCTATCAGCCTCTGTAAGATGGTGACGAGGCACATTTGCTGATCCATCGCCGTTCCCATTTACCATCTAAAGGTTGTGGCCAGCATGAGGAGGGTTTTTCTGATCCTCCTTTGGACTATGAGCTTGGTTCGGCCAAACGTACCTCAAGCTGCAGGAGGTAAGGCATCTTCCTTCCTACCAGCGCGTAGCTTCAGCACCAGTGGGTGACCAGGGCCCCTCTACGTGTTGGTCAAATGCACTGTTCTACACGTGAATAAAACAGTCCATGGCATGCCACAAGTGCGGGGCCACAGATGGCCGTGCTGTGTTAACACGCTTCCTGGGGCACCATGCCTCACTTAGATTACTCCCAGCCGGTGCCCGAGGACTGTTCGGCTTGGAGAGGGAAGAACCGTGAGGCACGCAGATGCAGACTGCACCGTGCCACTTGCCCTCTGGGCTGGCCAGGAGTTCCTGGCCTGGTTTAGTCAACAATTTAATCCGGCCAGAGCAAAAGCATTATTCCAGCTAGCAATTTGGCCTCCAGGAACGAAACTGCAGTTAGCTGCAGAAACATGACAAGACAAAGCATCGCTAGCATAATCCTGGGGTATCAACAGCCTGAGTGGTGACATTTTTTGTGGGCATCTCAGCAAGGAACATTTCAAGGGAACCAGTTCGGGGAGGTTTGTACTGAGGGTTTCTGAGCCTTTATCAGGCAGTTTTCCTAATGCACGCTTGAAAATTGAACTTGTGGGCATCAAAGGTTGAAGTCATGGGAGAAGAGAAGTGGAGACTGATGTCCCTCAACTGCCTTGGAGGTGGCAATGAGGTGAGGACAGGCTCTGAAGAACTCTAGAAATGGAGGGGAGTAGATTGATTATTTCATTGCCTTGCTATTTATATGCTAACATTTTCCCCCAGCATGAGATCTTCCTCATTACCATATGAGCTCCAGGAATCCCTCTTGCCCTGTCATTTTAAATTATCGTTCCCATCCTTCTGTGTTTTCTTCCATTTGTGCTTAATTCCTCTCTTCATCGTTTTGTTTCTTCTCTCCCATACAACTTCTTGTGGCTGTCAGCCTGCTCTTAGAAAGCCCCCGCGTTACACTCTTGGCAGCTTTGTGTGGGTGAGGATTGTTTCTGCAGTTGATCGCTTGATCAGCCCTGTTTCAGTACAGATGCCCAGTGTCTATGTGACTATGAGGATCAAGCTGAAAAACCTGAACCTAATTAAGAAGCCAACTGCAATATATCATGGTGATTTGCAAGTTGAAACTGTTGTAAAAATTCAGTTTTTAAGTGAAGTTTTAAGTAAACTCTTGCTTGATGAAGTTTTGGTTGTTATTTAAAGATTTTTTCAAATGTTAGAAACATTTTATAAGAAGCTTTTGAGAGCGTGTAATATTGAAATGAAATTATTTGCTTGTATTGCTCATTGCTTGTAAAGAGCTATCGCTCGAAACAATTCACTGGATTACTATGGTATGAATATTTCTGTTTTCTCCTTTACAGTTCAGGTTTTCCCACCTGTTAACTTCACCCTTACAGTCTCTGCATTAGCACAAGTACTTTTACACTGGAAACCAAACCCTAATCAAGAACAGAAAAACTACCCTATTAGTTATGATGTGAAAATCCTAAGCCCTGTGCCTGAAGAGGTAAGATGAAAGAGAAGTCCAGTATCCTAAGAAGGTTAAATTCCCGTTGAGTTAAACATGTTGCCCCAAACCAGGGTGCGGTAGGCGTGATGTGCCTCCTGAACGGCTGGCGTATCGAATCACTTATTCTCTTAATCGTAAACAAATACTTTGGGCACTGGAGAGATTCCCTTTCAGCTGTGCTTATGGGTGCGGAGCTCCTGGGACAAGGGTTAGCCTGGCAGTGGGTAGGCTCTGCAGCGTTCATCCTGGGGGGAAGCCGGGTACTGGGTTTCAGTGATACCGTTCCCCGTTCAACTCAGCTCACTTAATTCGCATTAATGCCAGGGTACCACTGAAATGTCAGAGCATGTTTCATCACAGCTGTATGCTATAGACAAATTTTTGGTAAGATAAGGGTCCTGCTGTCCTAAATGAGAAACATTACACGCTTCTTGTGTGGATTATTTGTACTCTCTAGCTTTACAAGCTTCATACAACCAGCTGAGCTAGCTGGCTGGTTTGCCTCTTTGCAAAGACTGGTTCAGTTTTCGCAGGTCCCTTAATTGGGCTTCCATCACATGTGATGCCTTTTTTTTTTTTCTTCTTCATTTCAAGTATGATACAAAGAAGACTCACAGTATCCGAACAGTTGCACTTCACAACGGTTTCTCCGCACACCTTCGGACGTTACTTCTCCATAATGACCTTGAGATGAGAAGTGAGTGGGTGAAGCAAAAACTCCCGCCTCTGCCAGGTAAGAAGAAATGCAGGGGAGGTCTGAATTTTGTTTTCTGACCCAGTCTGTGGACCAGACATGAAAAGGTGACAGGTTTAATACTTGAAAAACACAGCATTGTCCCCTCTACCTGCTACACTGATCTTAGGAAATTATTTAGTCCAGGCCTTTCTCTACTGCTGTGGAGCTTGGAGTACAATCTGGAGGTGCAGAACATGGATAACCCATATAACATTTTCCAAAAATTCTGTGCTAAGTCTAAGATAACCTGTTTTCATACACACTAGGATGATAAAAGATCACCCTGAGGAGTGTGTGAAATATGTAACGGGGTTGTGTGGTACAGCTTTACTTGTGCTGTTTGGGAATCTTCATCCATCCATAACTGATAGAACTGTGTGATAAGGAAGAGAAGTGGATACAACAGACATAGATATAATGGGCCAAAGACTGTAATCAAAGTGTTTTAGCAACATGACTTTCTTATGACTTTTGTAATAAGATTTTTGTTTCTGCTTTGTAATTCCTTGACTCTCTAGGTGCTCCAGAGACATCTGTCACTAATTTGTCCTGTGTTACTCGCATCACCATCTCTAGTACTGTTTCTCTCCATTGCACCTGGCTTCCTGGCCAAGGGGCACCACCAGATACCGAGTACTTTCTATTTTACAGGTTGGTGTTTTCTCCCAGTTTACTCAGCAATGGATTTCTTTAAGAGCATCCTGTCTCACAAGTATTTTGATTTAGGTATGAGATGTACACTGAAGAATGTCAAGATTATATCAAAGACAAATGGAACAGGAATACCGAGTGCAGATTTTCAGTGACTCGTATTGATCCTGAAGAGTTTGACAAGCTCATTGTAATACACATTAATGGGTCTAGCAAGTATGCTGCAATCAAACCTTTGCAGCAGTTGTTTAACCAAAATGCCATTGGTGAGTAGAAAAAAATTTTTATGAAAAACATTTAAAATGTCTAGCAGCATTGTCAAAAGATTTTTGTGAGAGAGTATTCCCGGATTGAATGGTTCTTGATGCAGGTGAAAGTATGTGCTGGTTTTGCACAAACGTCTTAATGACATTGGAAGAGATGAGAAGACAGAAATGGATAGTTTTAACTAACTTTGATTTTAATATTATAGAATACAAAAATAAAAAGCTAGAAAATACAGTTATTCTGTTTGCTAGCCAGTGCATTTTTTCCAATAGTCATTTTCAATTGATTTAGTCAGTATACCTTCAAGTACAGTTTTTACCACCTTTTTCTACAGGCTTTCTTTAGAAGCAGAAAGATGCATGATGTTCAAGATAACCATGTCCTTTTAATGAAAGGCATTATGCTGTCGAATAAAAGGTGGTATCAGCCATGACTGTCTTCATCTTTCATCCACCCAAATAATTTCTTTTCCTTCATTAGTTCCACGCCTTTCACTTTTTTTGTAAACAGATAACATTTCCCTTTTTCATGGCTTCACTAAGATAAAACAGTTGACGTGCTTTCTTCTTCTTAGAAATCATCCCCATAATAGCTGCTGATGCGTTCCTTTGAAGTTGTTCCAGTTTTCAGTAACTTTCCTGGTTATATCTACTTTTTTTCCTGAAAACAAGTTTGTCTAACTGTTCTATCATTAATTTCACGCTTCTGTGAAAATTACTGTACTAAATCCCCCTCCTAGTAATCTAGTTTTCCAAAACTTTTAAATGGATTTTTACAATGTTTTTTCCCTTAACTATTTTCGCCGATATAGTTATTCCTTCTAAATCCTTATCTTTTCTGTCCAAAATGTGAAATAAATTCAGGGATTATACGTCCTTCTTGGAAACACTATCAGGTTATAATGTGCTCCAATTGCTAGTATTTAAACTTTGCTCTGTAAATAACTTACCATTAAAGTTTTCTTTTTGTAGAGAAAGTGAATGTTCCCAGAAACGTCACTGTATTCTTAGACCAAAATGATCTCCTGGCCACATGGGAGAAGCCAGTTTCTCCTCTCCCTAAAGAATGTTTTGAATACGAATTTTACCTCTTCAACTTGAAGTCAGGTAACAAGCAGGTAATTGCTTCTCCGATGCCCAAGTATTACACAGCGTTCCTGCCTCTGAGCTGACTGTCCTATATGGCTGGAATTTGCCTTTATGCAACCTGGTGAAAAGGTCTTTGTATTCATGGATATGTTACAAATTTTAAAACATTTAAAATAAAACCCGCCGTTAGTATATTTTTGAAACTATGGACTTTTGGTGAAATTTGTGTCCCATTTGTGACTGGGGTTCAGCAAAGCCAAAGTCTCATCGCTTTTTGTATTTTTGCTCTTTTTCTGGACATCATTTCTGTCTGCAACAAACTCTGCCCAAGAGACCAAGGAAAGCAGAGGGACAAAAATTGGAGTTACTCAGTTTTATGCATCTGGATTCAGAACAGTAGGAGGATGGGCAATTCTGAAAATCCAGCATTAAATGTCTTAAGTAAGAATGCAAACATGAGGCATCTTTCAAGAATTTGCCCTGAAATATTGCTGTGTTAAGAGAGGAAATACACCTATAAAAACAGAGATCGATCTTCCAAAGCAAGGCCAGATGCTCACTGCTACTCTAGAAAGAAGTTTTAAAAAAAATAAGAAGATCAACACAATTAATGTTTGTTTTCTGAATTGTTTAGTCTTAAGTAATCTGTAACAGTACAATATTGTTTTCCTAACAGACATTGAAAATATCCTCAAACGACTTCAGATTACGGATTGATGTTACCAGCAGATATTCCATACAAGTAAGAGCTAATTATCACGTCTGTTCTACGAGAGGACTTTGGAGTGACTGGAGTGAAATTATTTATGTTGGTAAGAATGACATGTTTCTGTCTTGTAGTGAGTGTTGTTACCTTGCTGGAAGGCAAATACTGCCTAATCATGAGCACGCACAACACCAAGTAATTTTAACAGAAGCAGGAAAATAGGTATCTGGGGAAAGAAACTGACTTGTTAATGCCAAGGGGAGTTAAATCTGTGTTCCATTAAAAACAAGAACAACAAGAAGTCTCTCAAGCAAACTTTAGGAGATATGGAGGGATTTTTTAGACAGTGTTTTGTTTTTACATGCTTGTGTTTTCAGACACTGCTTTAAACCAGCTTAAGGCCTAAGCTCTAGGTAGGGCCTTTTAGTTAGAATAATAGAATCATAGAATGGTAAGGGTTGGAAGGGACCTTGAAGACCATCTAGTTCCAACTATCGCTTCTTTAGTTTTTACATGTGTTTCCCTGCCATGCGTTGTGATGTTCGTGCTGGAAGTTAATTAGAGTGATGATGTCAACTATTGCTGTACTGGAGCTATCTGAACTCTTAAATGTTGGGGTGAAGAAAAAAGAGCATGATTTTAGCATCTTTGGAACATGATAATTTGCCCCACTTTGTTCTCTGTTCCCTGCTTGCTGAACGTGTTTTTCTGGACATAACAGTTTCCTTATCATGGCACGTTATCGACTGTTTCTTCTTCGACATCCTCCTTTGCTCTTATCTTTCGAGTTTCTTAACTTCCTGGTTTTCACTAAAAAAAAAGATAAAGCCCGTAACACTCTCCTGTTTACTGCACTTTTCCCTCTTAGATCTGTTTGCTAGTGAATATGATTAAATCTGCCGGTGTTTTGCTGCCTTACTCTTAACACATCCCCTTGGCTTTCCCACCTGGCTCCTGACAAGCCTGGGGAAGACACGCTCAGCGACCCAACCGCTTGCCCGGCGTGGGGAGGGCTGACCAGACATCTCATTAATTAAAAAAGCTGGACCTGCTTCATGCACCAGCTGGGAATTATTTGGATGAGACCAACTTTAAGACCAGGAGACCTCTTCTGAGCCTGTACCCTGAGAAAAACACTGGCCTAGACTGCCAGTCCTGTAGCAGCAATCCTCCAACTTTGTTACAAACTGAAACACAACTCTGATTTCTTTCCTCGGGCTGTGGGGATCAAACGCTGTGAAATGCAGCAATAAGCTGCCAAAGCAGGCGTTGTGGAAGTGCACCTTGATACCAGCCGCCTCTAAAAGTTTGTTTAGAAGCATTACAGGCAAACAAAGCTAGATGAAAATCATTAGTGTCGCCACATGGGCTGGACACCCTCATTAACTACACGTGGCAGCCCGATACGAGTCAAATCCGTGAAGCTGTAGGTACGTGTGAACAGCCAGGGTTCACAGTTTAAAAGATCCACGGGTCAAGTTTGGGGCTGAGAAGTACTTCACAGCGCTGTTGTGCTGTCCTGATGCTGCTTTCCCAGCAAGGCTGAAAGACTGGAGGGCCGCTCTGTGTCAGCCGGAGCACTTTTGGAGCTGTCTCTGCTGCGCAGCATGACAATGACCGAGGAACCTGGAAACATCACCGTTATGGACGCCTCTGCTGACACACTGCGCACATCAAACACGGAAAATTCGTTCTGATGGTAAAAAAAAAAGTTAGTATTCCATAAAAACTTACTTAAATCCCTAAAATATCCATGGATATGTCCAATTACTTCCATTTATCTTATGGAAAGGAGTTTTTAGAGGCTTGTTGCAGTTCACTGACACGACACAGGTTACTGCAGAAGTCGCTGGGTTTCAGTACGTGCTTCAGCCGCTCTCGTTAGCGTTGCCGCTCCCTTGCTCTGTGGCTCTGAGGAAGTTTCCTTGCTTCCCTCTGTTTCATGTGTTCTGTGGAAACCTCTCAGTAGGCAGGTGATGGGCTCGTGCAGGTGTGCAGTGGCACGTGGGGCTGGGCTGGTGCCTTCAGGCACGTCTTGGAGAGAAGCCCGAGGAGGAGAGCCCTGGGCAGAGCCTCAGAGCCACAGCACGGCGTCTGCGATTGCTGCTTCTTCCACACCTTACTCTGAGTTGCAGTGAGACTTCGTGTTGCTTGATCGTGCCTTTTTGGGGCCATTGCCAACTGCCATAGGATGGAAGAGACTTAGGATGCTTCCATTTTTGGTTTGGAGAATGGAGACACTTCCCAGCCTTCATCTTGGAAAGCTTAGAATTGGTTTATGGGACTTCACCGTTTTCCACAGTTTGCTGCCCCGGTTGTCCTCAAGACTTACACGAAGCAGAACTTGTTGGCAGCTGCTTCCTAAATCTTATTGTCTTGAAAGAGAAGTGGTAACCCTGGAGACAAAATCAACCATCCTAACCTGTTTGTGATTGCAAGGTTGGCTGCGTGCCCCCATCGGGGTGGTACGGAGGCTCAGGACGGATCACACAGCCCCGCTCACATCGTCATCCACGCGCTGCTCTCCGGGGCTGCCGCACAACTGCCGCCATCGGCGGAGAGAGCAGGCTCAGCTCCTCATTCCTCAGAAACGCATCTGGCCACAGTTGGATATTGCTTTGTCTCCAGCACCAATAAACTCGGCGCTCCTGCCGCTGGGTGATTTATGTCCTTTCAAGTACCTGGCAGTGGCAGTGCTGACACCTTGATGCATAGGACAGGTAGTTATCGTCAGCACACACGGACTTGGCCGCCTTTTGAAAATGCAGTTCAATGTAAATGTGTTTGTTATGTGGCATAATGTGGCACGCAATAATGGTCGCGGTCACTGAGCAATGCCTTTTGGAAACAGAAACATTGACCTTGACAGAAATACCTGTGTCTGCTCACAGGCAGAGGCAGCAGAGGAATTCTTCCCGAGGAGATGTATCAGCAGCCAGCGCACAAGAAAAATGGGGGGTTTTGATGTCTTTTTTTACAGGCAAGTTTAGGAAGCCGGAGAAATCCAGTTCCTGGCTAGAAAGGATTAGCAGAAATGAACGGTTTAATGGAAAACAAATGGTTTGTGCCTGAGATTATCAGCGAAGAGTGTCTTTGCTGAGTGCCAGTCCTGCGCTCGCTGCATGGCCTGGCGTGTCTCGGGATGGCAGCTAATGGGTTGTATCGTCCTTCTGGCGGGCCTGGCTCCTCACACTTCTCGGCTTTTCTCTCCACATTAAAGAGAAAGAAATTTTTTGCTGAAATTAGAAAGCCAGTTTCATGGAAATCGTTCCTGAAGCTGTGTGTTTCATTTCTAATGCTAGATACCAAGTCTTCATCGCTGGCATGTTAATTTGTGATCTGAATATAATCACACAAAAAAGCAGATTAAGTCTTTTGTAAGAGCGTGTTTAAAATACTCTGCACTAAAACAATATATTTAATTTATTTTTTTCTTCAAATTCAGGGCCAAACAAAATGGAGAATCGCGTAGCCTGGATTCTCGCTGTGCTTTGTGTGTCCACGTGCTTCACATTCCTGCTTGTTGCTATAATATGCAAAATGTAAGTATCTTCATCATCTTTTAATTACAGTATAACTAAGGACTTGGTGTTCCACAGGTGTGTGGTGATGTTACAAGCTTTGCTTGATTTTAAGAAAGGGCACTGAGTTTGGTATTCAAACATAATTATACAAACCGAAAGTACTGAATAAGTAATAGTCAGCCTCATTAATTATCAATAATAGCATTAAGCAAAATTGGTGAGGGAAGAGGGTTAGTCGAATTAATCTTAAACAACAGAACCATATACTGAGTGAGGCAAATTTGTTAAAAATCCATTTGTCCTTATCTCGTTTTTTCACTTAAACGGATCTGTTTGGGTCGGTGGTTTCCCCAGGAGGACTCTGTCTTTAGCCCTGGTGACACCGCTGAGGGCATCTTTCACGGCTAAAATGTACAGGCCAGCATCTTCTCAGTCTGGTCCAGCTCGGCCTGCAGCCCTCCGCTCTCTGCTGGGCCCTGGGCATGCAGGCTGGGTTTCGGCTGACATCAAGGAGTGTGGCAGATGCTCTGAAGAGGTGAAAACGCAGTGCCTTTGAGCTTGCTGCTCCTCTTGACCTCTTATCAGGAGCAAGAGCTATTGTTTGCTTTGAGTTTTTGAACTGTTTGTTTAGTTTTTTTTAATTAAATACAGAGGCTGTGGATGCCATGTAGTAGAAACAGATGCCATGTAGCCAAACTTCTCCAAATGTGCTGTGAAGAAACCCAGATGCACTTTGGATTTCTGTAGCTGTGACTAGGCAAATGATAAATGAAGAATTAAAGAATCAATTTAATTACAAGCTTCTCCCCTGAAACATGCAGCAAGCAGCAATTATTGGTCCAAAATAAACACAGCTCCCAGTAATGTAAGTGCTGTCCTCGACTCTGCTAATTTCTCATTAATTTCTTTAATGCCTTTTAATTTATTGGTCATCCTGATGTGTCTTTGGCTCTTTTCCTTTCCATACTGCATTTCCTTTATCAAATAAAGGTCTTGTCTACCAGAATGTTATATTAGCACAACTGTTACTAACTTCCCTACGGTGTCTCCTGTTGGTGCTAACCTGTCCTTAAGTCAATTTAATGAGCATAGCAGGTCTCAATAAGCAATCCTTTTTGGAACAAGATAGATAAACTCCCCGGAGGATTTATTCTTCTTGTGCTTCGTATGCACTTGTTCCCAACTATGCAGCCTTGATGTGTTGGTTGAAATCCCCAAACTGCTCTTAATCGCATCACTGATTCTTTTACGGATTGACCTGTCTATGTAGCTGTAGGTCCTCCACTGCTCCGGCATCGTCTTCATCAGCTCTCTGCTCTCTCTTTGGAACAGCAAAACACCAGCACCAGTTAGTTCCAACACCAGTTAGCAGCAGTCATAATACTCCGTGCATTCCTGTGGAGTTCTGCAGGTATTTGGATACTATGCAGTTAGCCCCTGCGGAGATCCTGAAACAGGTATAGGGGAAGAAATAGGTGTAGGGGAAGACTTCTACTCAAGGGCCAGCCTGAAGATGCTGTGCTAATGCATTTTATGAACTTTAATACATTCAGCAATTTTAAGCCAGCTTTTGCAGGTTCAGCTGCTTGATGCTACATTGGTTGCATCTAGGAGTTTCTCTCTGCCTGGTTAGTATGTAATTCCCTAGCACTCAAAGGCTTATTATTATCTTTGTCAAAGTGATTGAAGTTTTATCTGCCTGCTGCACTGCATCTCATGAAGTTTCCAGCTCTACTCCACCCTTCCCAAGCTGCTTCTTGCTGAGTGTCCTTGCCACCTCTCTGATCCTCCAGCCTGCCCCGGGAGGAGGGAGGAAGTGCAAGAAGATGAAACGCAGTGCTTAGCCTGCTCATTTGCTGTATCTGCAGATATTAAAAACAGAAAAATAGAACAGGTTCCCTAGATCACACTTTCATTAGTGCTCCTGGTTTTTACTGCTCCTGGAAATTCATTATGTGTACCCTGCAATCAAAGCCACAGAATCATTGCAAATTTCATACGATTCAAAGCCATTAGAAGGAATTTCATTACAGCAAAGAGTTCTGTAAATTTTTCTGTGTGCTTCCTGGTGACTGCAGGCATCAGAGATACAGCCCACCCGCTGGGAGAGATGCTACGAGGCGAAGTGGCCCTGTGGGACAGTTTGGGTAGTCTTTCCCCTTCACTTTCTTGCAGTAGCTGATGGGGTTAATGTCTTGATACAAAGCGCAGCCAAATGTTTGCCTAGTTTGCCCTCCGTGAATGAGCATCTGCTGTGCTTCCTCCGGCTATGCCTTGGAGTAGCATTTTCTCCTGGAGGTGAGCCCACGGGAGGATGTCGTTAATCGCTTGCTCCCAGCTGCTCTCCACTTAATTGCCACGAGGACAGTCAGTAGCCTTCCACAGCCTGGAATCAGCCTGGTCACCCCGACCTCCACCAAGTACCCCCCTCTTCTGAACCCCACGTGGGTCCAGGGCCAGCAGTCACCAGCTGCCCGCTGCAGGGAAGGCCTTTGGAGAATGTCACGGGGAGTCTCGGGGGAGGCAAGACACGAGAAAAGGCACTCTGACATGCTGCGAAAAGAAATATTTTATCAGTCTCAACATGGCAGTAGAAGAGGGAAAAGAAGAACTTGTTCTCTTATTTATCTTTATCTTCGGCCTTTTCATGTCACAGCCCATGGGAAAAGTGGCAAATCTCAGCAAGACAGATGCAGCGCAGTAGCTGGAGGCCCTGAAATGCTGACTTGAGGCAGGAGGGTCCTGGGGACCGTTTCCAAAGCCTGGAGGTCCAGGTAGCGCTACTGGGAAGGGCCATGCTGTGACCCGTGTAGAGACAAGTGGAGATATCTGGGGCATTCTTTGTGAGAAGATATTTAATAGAGCGACTCCACCTTTTCAGCATCCTGCAAAAAGAACAGGACCATCGTGAGGGCGGCACTGTCACCACACCACCAGCGCCGCGCTGCCCAGACCTTCATGCCTGCGGGGCAAGAAGCCTCCTCGAACACAAGTGTGCTTTTGCCTCACGTCTGCTGGGCGTTTGTGCACCTCTCCTCAAGTGTTTCTGTGCCAGAAGCGACCTGTAACTTGTGCTTTTTGCTGACTCAATAAATGGTTTTGATACGGCTCCATCAAAATCCTTTACTGACCAACAGCACAACTAGAAACGCGCCAGTTCCAAACAAAACCAAATCTTGGTGGTTACGTGGCACGGCAGTAGCAGAAATCCAGACCCCACTCCGAGCTGAAGTCAGATGGAGCCGAACTCGGGTGGCCTCCAGCGCCTTCCTCCTGAAAGGCTTGGGAGACCCGACGGGGCGCGGGAGCTGTGAAGACAGCCACGCTTGCACGGCTGGCCGGGACGTGGTCGCAAAGACCTCACCGGTGGCAGGAAAGCCGGCGAGGGCGGAGGTGATGCCGGGCGCTGCAGTGTTAACGCTGGCAGTTGTCCCGGTCCCACGGCTGAGTTAGCCCCAGGCCGTGGTACTGACCCGCTCGGCTGGGGGTGACCCACAGCTTGACCCGTCCTCCGCAGCCAGCGAAGGTTGGACTGCGGTCAGCGTTTCAACAGAGGGGATGCGAACGTCTCCTAAAACCAGCTCACACCCTGCTTTTCCTCCCTGTGTTCCTGCTGGCTGTACGGCTCCGTCGCGAGCCCTCGTCCCCGTGCAGCAATGGGGACCCATCCCGTAGCTTGCTCGTGCGAGCGGTGGCGTGTCCCTTCCCTGCCCCAAAGCATCAATTTGAAGCATCAGTGTCTCCTTCAAGGCAACAGCAGCTCAGCCAGGAAGGTTTAGCTCCAAACTGATAGAAAATATTATTGCTCCTCACCTCCCTGCTGAGGAGGAATAATAGGATAAAAGAAAACGTGACAGAACTGGGAAAGCTTTGGAAGAAGAATCGCCACAAGAACATAAGCACTGAGCTAACGAGACATCGGCCAGGAGAATTGTCACAGAATAACCGGGGCAGAGCCACCCGCAGTCCCAGCGCCGAGGGCTCCGGAGGGCTGCAGCCGGGGCCGTGTCTCTGCTCCACAGGCGTCAGGCTGGCTCCATGGAACAGGGGCTAAACCCTACGAGCTTCACCCAGGCCAAGTCCCCGTTGAAGTATGGCCCTCTTTGGACATCGTGCTCTCCAGGGGTGGGGACAGTGAATCCACTTTAGCAGTCGGAATGTGAAGTCTGCACTCTGGGATGTATGGAAGACAAGAAAAGCTTCACTCTGCAGCGCTTGCTGTCGCAAAAATGCACCTGCCTGTCTGCTTGAGCCAGGCGGGCAAGGAGGTGTTTGCAGGGTGAGTCGCTGAGCCGCTGAGCAGAACTGTTTGCTGTCAGCCACCCCTGGTCCCGTTCCTTGCCTCCTCCTGGTTCCCTCGGTTTGCTCTCCCACCATGAGACACGGGCAGGTGACGTTCAGAAACCAAAGTCTGAGCAAGAAGCAGCCTGTCCCGACCGTCCAAACAAGGTAGCTGGCAATGAGTCCCTGGGAAGAAGACGGGCGTGAAGAGGCAGATGAGAGCAATGAATTTCTCTCCGAGGCAGGCCTGTTGCTGGTCGTTCGAAGCCGTGGCAATGCCCTCTTGGCCTGGACGTTCCAGCCTGGCTCTGCTGCAGCAGCGGTGGGAGAGGCTGACGAGGGAGGTGGCTCTGTGCCATCCGCACGTTCCCCAGGGTCCGCAGGTGTCCCAGTGGGAACAGCACAGCTTTATCTGTTACGTTCACCCCTTCGAACCCGCTGCTGCCGTTGGATGCTGACGACTGTGTGGGGCAGGAGGGCTGGTGGTGCACAGGGCTAGACATGAGCTGCTTGTTGGGTACGTCGTCTGTCAGAGAAAGCAATTCTTTCACATCCCTCACCTGCTGTTTTTTGCAGAAACCACGTGTGGAGTAAGCTGTTTCCACGAATTCCAACGCCCAGCAACAAATTCAGAGATCCCTTCCCCAACGACTACGAGGTAATGAAGCATTTTAGTCACTTTTTTTATTTTTTGACTAGGAGGAACGCTTGTGGCTGCGTGCTGCTCTTCCCCCGTAGGGCTGGGAGCACACAGCCTGTTCTTGCTCACTTAAAGCCTTCTGACCTCTCAGAAATTGTAAAATTAAATGTTGGCTACGTTGTTGAATGTGCTGTGCAAAACACCCCAGGTGGGAAATGCGTGGGTGCAGCTAACGTAAGGATGTGCACAGCCCTAGGAGGACAGCATCGAGCTACTTAGCGGTGTGCGAGGCCGTTCTTGCCACCGCGGCTGCTGCGCTGGGTTCTCACCGGCTGCGCGCCCACCGCCTCTGCTGGGAAGGGAGCTCTGGAGCTGCCCTTGTCTGTAGATGAAGGGTTTTGGGATGGGCTAAAAATGCACGAAAGGATGAAGTGCTGTTGCCGAGTGCTTTTCTAACACGCCGCAAGTTTCCGGGTGCGGTGCCGTACCGTTGGCAGCGCAGTGGCTCCTGCCACCGGGCACAGCCAGGCAGACAGCCCTGCCTCGGCGGGGGCTGGAGGTGCGTCCTGGAGGGCTGATCTGTTTTCTGAAACCCAGCAATGGGAAATGTTTTGTTCCTCGCGTGAAGCTGATCTTAAGCCTCATTATGTTTGCTGTTACTTCCTGATAAATAGATTTGCCTTACAGATAAGGTAAAACTCCTCTTTGTCTGCTCAGGGGAAGTGCTGCTCAGTAACTTGATTTTAATTTGCCCCGTTAGAATGAGGGTTTGAGCATTGTTCTTATTCCATGGTCTGGTCAAGGAAATAGGCTTAAAAGATTATCATATGTCTGTTTTTAATTAAAGTCACTGGTGTAAAATAACACGACTTAGGATATCACAAACAAGACTATGAGAAATAGCAAAGATTCACACTGCAGCTAGAAAAGGCGAGCTTGCAGGGGCAGTTTCACGCGACCGACAGCAGCGCTGCCTTGTACGCAGCCGTCTCGCCGTTCGCAGGGAGCTCGGGGCGGGCAGGAGACGCCGGCTGGAGGCTTCCTGCTGCCACCGTGGCAACTCAAAACGCGGTGGTTTGCAAAACCTGTTGTGAAGTGAGGGCTGTGCAGCTTTTGTCTCATAACGGATATTCAACGCGGGCTTAAACGGATGCATCGTGACTCCACTCCTGCAATGACTGCGGCGGAGTCGGTACCCTCAGCTCCCCTCCCAGCTCCCCAGCTCAGAGCGGTGTTTGCTTTCCAGAGAGCGCGTACCTGCGCCAGCGAGACGGAGACCGAGTTGGGCAGCTTCGCCGAGGATCTCTACGGCAGCGCCCTCGACGGCTCCGTCTTCTGAGAGGCTGCCAACTCCCAGGTGAAGCAGGGTGTAAGTACACGGTGCAAGGGCTGTATAGGAAAAAAAACTTGTGGAAAAGAGCTAATGGCTTTTTTTTTTCTGGCTGACTGCTTAATCTTTGGGATTTTTGCTTCGTTTTAAGTAACTCTGACAATCAAGATGCAAAATGCAAACTGGGACTTGGCAGAGCGCTGTGCGCGGCAGCACGGTGGGCCCCAGCAAGGGGGTCAAATACATGGAAAAGAGTAAAACAAGCTTCTTTCCTGTAAGATTGGTGCCGTTTGCAGAAGAAAGCAGGCATTTCTAATGTCCTGGTTTCCCTGGGGTGGAAGTGTGCCCAGCTTTCAGCCATGTGAAGCTGGTGGGGCTGCGACGGCTGGTTCCCTGGGGGGGGCCCGGCCGGCCGGGAGCGCAATCTGGGTGCTGCAGGACCCCGATTTCAGGAGGAACCAAGAGCTTCACCCGGGCTTCCGACACTCCCTGCTGAGCAGGGGACTGCTGCTGGGATGGGTGGGCTGCGGAGGAGCCTGCGCCTGCCCACCCAATCCCGCTCGGCCACTCACTGCCAGAGGCACCGGGCACTCCCACTTGGCTCGTTTTCAGTCCAAGGCTCCTCTGCAGGCTCTTGCCTTTGCCATCAGCTGGCAGCATCTGCAGAAGGACAAGAAGGGATCGTTTGTGCTTGCTGGCATAAGAGATTAAAGCTTAAGGGGGAAAAAAAAAAAGAGAAAATAAAAGAAGGGAAAAAAAACCAAAAACAAACTGATAAACTTCCTCAACTGCACCTACAAAACAAAACCCAGCCTGGGACTGCAGAGTTTTCAGCTGTGCTGTAATTAAAGAAATGTGCCAAGGACGTCTTGGTGCTCCAAGAGGCTTTCTGAGCTGCCGGAGCTGGGCTCCTCCTTCCTGCACAACTTCAACTGCCTCCAGGTGATATCGAAAATCCGAGCTCGACATCAAACCTGTTTTTCTTCTCTATCTGTTGTTCCATCTTAAATGAACTGAGTTTGGGACAGCGTCGGTTGCTGTTTGTGATTTGTTTACTGACGTTGTGCAATCCCCAAGGCCGGTTACCAAATAAACCTCCTGCCCGACAGCACTGGAACAAGTCGGGCTTTGACCTCTCGGGACCACGAAGCTCTCCTGTTCTCGCAGAGTCCCTTCTGCCTCCAGGAAGCCTCCTGCCCGCCCAGCTGGCCAGAGCGGGGGTTAGGGACGTTAACGAAGAATAAAGAGAAAGATTTCACCCAGCAAGTAAATTGTTTGGAAGGTGCTGAACGTAACGGAGTTCCCAGGTGCTACAGACTAAAAATAATGATAATAAATGAGCCAGTTCTCATCTGGGTGAAGTAGCATGGCTCCATCAAAATTAGTGTAGCTCATTAATAGAACAGTGTCTGTGCCCCAAATGTCTCTCCTGCATGTGGTTTTAATGGACTTGAGATGCCCAGTCTAAAATCAGAATTTCATTATTAAAATCCTAAAAATGAGACTAAAAATTCATTTACTGTAATGTGTTTTGTGTCATGCCTGCAAGTGGCCTAATAAATAGGATTTCTAAATATAATTTCATTCCCATTAATGGCAAGGTACTGCAGAGATGAACACACTATATTTAAGAATATTTTGCCTCTGAGTTGTACTTTTGGCCGTGGGAAGGCTCAGCACTTACCGGCGAAGGCAGCGGCAGGCTGGCAGCCGAGGCGCTCCCGGGCAGGCAGCTGCGGGGGAACAGCGACGGAGAACAGGCAGCGCGTTCTGGCATCTCGCTGTCATCACCACTACGCCAGCCCACGCCGCCGGGGAAGATGGCTGTCCCCAAACTCCCAGGCCAGAGGTATGAGTTTTGTGCCCAGAGCACAGAGAAATACTTATTCCAAGGTTTTTTTGTCTTTAAACCCAGCTGCAGACTCGGTACGCAGCCACGGGAGCGTGCCCCTCACCCACCTCTAGAGACGGCGATTTTAAGTTTGCTGCTTAAACACCGCTTTGTGTCACTGGGCCATTTTCTTTTTCAGCTTCATCGATTGCGAAGTGCAGTGCTGCTCCTTCGAAACGCAGTTTCCTAAAAGAAACCTAACCCCTAAAGACCAGAATCAGAAAAGCGGGTCTGGTGGGTTCTGCGACGTCAGGCGGTGCCCCC